CCCACCACCTTGGACCTGTACAGCACCCTGCCAGGAAACACCTTGATTACCTGGTCAGACAAACTGCACAGGTTTCCAAACACAAAGTCCAGCACTGAAAGGCTTCATTACAGGCAAACCCAGCTAAGATTCTGTCCACTGTAACTGGGCTCGAGTACAATCCACTTTAGCATCCAGTCATCTAAATGGATCCAAAACCAGTCGTTTGATTCGAATTTCGAGACCACCGATACATTACGCAGAGAGCTGAACTTCAGTGACCATCACCTCCAAGACACTGGCAGAAAAACTGGTGTGCTTCCTGTACTGGAGGGGTTATATAGGGGAGGACTTCCTGTCTGGCTTGGTCTGCCAGTGTCCATTTACCTATAGGTGGCGCATAACCCAAATGGTCATGATTATAGCCCGCTCTGTGTCCCGTGATGTACGATAAAGAAAAATTCCCTTTTATTGTTCCCTTAGTAATAAGCGAGCAATTACCCATTCCAATGTGGGCACAGTCCCACTGCAAGGGATACATTTTTTTTTTATTTGCCCGGATTAGACTTTAATAGAAATATGGTTCCATACAAAACACACATGGCCCTCATGACAATCTACTTGACTAGATTAGATAAAAAAACAAAAAAAAAAACACCACATTTTAACCAAAACTGTATTTAAATCTGAGGTGCTTTTAAAAACAAAAAAAAGGGGTTTTATGGCAATTTAAACCTTTAAACTTAAATATTTTTAACATTGCGCTGTTTATCTCCTCCTCACCTCCCTGCCTGTCTCCAGCACAGCACCCAGGGACCAGCAGGGAGGAGAGACCTTACAGTGTAATGAGCACCAACTGGGTTCCTCCCAGGAAAGGGGAGTGTCGGGCTTATCCTTTATCCCTTTTGCTGCCAGAGCCCTTTGTGTTTTTTGCACACGTTTAAAAAAAATAATTTTAGGCCCAAACATTCTATATTTTCTGAAAGCAAAGACTCTAGAGAATAAAACAGTGGCAGTTCCAATTTTTTATGTTACACAATATTACCAGAAAGGTTTTTTTAATTTTAGGGCAAAAAAGCAATAGCCTACAGTTTTTGGTAAAATATAAAAGAGGAGTTTGCCCCAAGTAAATAGATACCCAACATGTCAAACCTTAAAATTTGCGTACGCTTGTGAAATGGCGACAAACTTTAGTACCTTATATTTTCTATAGGCGATGCTTTTAAAGCCTCTTATAGATTATTAGTTTAGCGTCACAGAGGTCTGGTAGGTTTGTACGTGCGTATATGTGGGGGTGGGGGGGCCTCAAACTTTTTGGGAGGGTTTATGTGCTTGGATATAACTATTTTTTTTAAAATGAAAATTTTATTTTGTAAGTGACAAAAAAAAGTGACCCAAATGTGAAGATTTTTGGTGACAAGTTCTCTTTATTGATACATCCAGGGTCAAAAAGGACCAGGGTGGATAAAAATCAATGATTTTTTTTTTAAAAAAAAATTCAAAATCTGATTTTTTTTATTTAAATCGGATTTTTTTTAATAAAATGCTTTTTGAGGAAAATATATTACCATCCAAAGGTTCTTCCATCATGAAATAAAGATTAGTTTTTTAATTATGTAGAATAAGGCTGTATATGTTTAATTTTTTTGGTAAATAAATTCCATGAATCCATTCACAATGTCATGCTCTTCCAGAGGTTTTTGTAAGATTGGGCAGTTTCTCTGCCTACAAGATATTATCACAGATGTTGGTTTACTTTTGCAGTTCTCAAAACTGAATTTGACTCAGCGGAGATCACATGCCTCTTCTTCACAGCAAAAAATGTTATAACATGAACAGAGTTAAGAAAAAGACCTTAATCCTAACTTCCACAAACCTATGAATACAGAATCAACCCCTTCAGTGCTAAGTTTCAAGAAGTTCAGTGAATAGAATAGAAACAATATTTTTCTGATTGTTTGGAGTGGAATAGATCTGCACAAGAAGAAAGTGAAACTAAGTGTGAGGAGGAAGGGGCTGACAGTCTAAGTTTCTTAAAATATATATATTTTGTTTAGCCAAATTAGTTAACAAACATGGATGTTTGTTTAAGCAAATAATATATGCTGGAAATGTTATTGTTTCAGTTGAATAAATCTATTTAAATTGTTATTATTAAGGTAATGATTATTTTTCTCCTTCCTAAGTACAACAGAAAAGTTGTCTAAATATGAATGATTAACCTATTAAACTGGGGATAAAAAAACTAATATGAAAAGTTGTTATTCTAAAAATCTCCATCTACTTGCATATTAAAGTTATACCAGCAAGAATTAGTCTATGTAGAAAACTAGGATTTAAATCAAGCCTTACTGACTAGTGATTTAAATCGTGATTTAAATCAAATTCACCCTGAAAAGGACCCTGGATGTCTCCCCTGTACTCCACTGGATGTAATGCATTACATTCTTTCCCAGCCACAAAGACCGGGAAATGTGGCAACAGGGACCCGGAAGTGACATCATAACATCACTTCTGGGTCAGCATAAGAAAGGGAGGGGAGCAGACATGTCCGCTCACCTTTCTACCCTCTACCTGCCAGCACCTGCTGAACTGGTCCCGGGCCCTCAGATGGGCAAGCAGAGCAGGAGAGACATAGCAGGTAGGGGGGAGATTCACGAGCGTGGGGGAGGCAGAGGCTGGCACTATAGTTGGCTGTGTGGAAGCAATCGAGCTTGCCAGCAGCAGGGCTAAAGGTTACAAAAAAACTACCTGCCCAATACCCGGAACTACATGTCCTGGGCGTCGGGCAAGATAAATTGAACATCCATGTGTTTGTACCGTTGTTAATTTGGTGAGGGGGTGCACTGGACACCCCTGTGCCTTTAAGGAAGGGTGGGCTCCCTCCAGGCATACCAGCCCTCAATCTATCCATTATTATATATGTGTTCCTACTATGGAGGCTCTCAAAATTAGGACTGCAGATAATAATGGATTTCCGTGAAATCTGCAGCTTACACATGTATTTGCAAATGTTAGCAACCTAATCCCCTGTTTTTGACCAGAACTGGTAGACAGGACAATTCAGTTTGTTGCAGGCTTGCTGGTAACTTGAGCTGAGAATTTTTCTTTGTTGATGTTTGACAAATGTCATATACGTCTCATGTAAGGCTACTTATGTAAGGATACACTGCTCAGTTGCAAAAATGCGCATAAAAATAAATAAATAAAAAACACATACACAAAAAAATGCAACCACATGTGATTTTTGATGCATTTTCACTGCGTTTTCCATTCATTTCAAATGGGGATGTGCGTTTTTGGTGTCTTTTAACTGTGATTTGGCCTTGGGTGCTTTTTTATGTGTTTTTGGCACATTTTCCATTCTTTTCAATGAGGTGGTTCATTTTTGCTGCTTTTTTTTTTTACTGCACCAAAAATACAGCAAGCAGGACTTCAAAAAATGAATGCACCCACAACTGACCAGTGTGAAGAAATCCATAGGATTTAATGATCATGCATTTTTCTTTCACTTTTTTTTTTTTTTTTTAAAATCAAACACAGAAGAACAGATCAGTGTGAAAGCAGCCTAATGCAGGCCATAGATGGGGAGAAAACCGGCCGCTTTTCATCCCGTCTATAGCCGGCAAAAAGTGTCCATGCAGAGAGCTCCGCTATTTCTTTGACAGTGCTTTGACATTTATAGTGGCTGCAACAATGTATCTATTTGTATCCATTTCGGATACAGATGTTTTTATTTGGAAACAAATAGATACATTGTTACAACCCTATAATAAATGTCAAAGAAATATCGGAGCTCTCTGCAGGGACACTTTTTGCCGGACTGGAATTCTTCTTCTTCATCCTCTTCCTCTTCTTCATCCTCTTCCTCTTCTTCATCCTCTTCCTCTTCTTCATCCTCCTCTTTCTTCATCCTCTTCCTCTTCTTCATCCTCTTCCTCTTCTTCTTTTTGTCTTCCTCTTGCAGGTCACTGCTCATGCGCAGATTTTTTTAATCGGTAAAAAGATCGGCCGATTTGCCCATAATTGCCGCGAAAATCGGCCGATCTTTTTCCAACTTTAAAATAATAAATAATAAAATAATCTTCCAAAATACCGAAAAACGGCCGAACAATTAACCCATTAACAATCCCAAAATTGCCAGATTTTATTTTCGACAGAAAAATCGGCCGATTTTCGACCCATCTATGGCCTGCATAAGTCTTCAATTCGAAAAACAGCTGGTGATATTCTGACTAAATGCTATTGCAAATTAAATGTGCCAAAAAGGCTCTTCATGAACACCATTCCTCCCATTCAGTTGAGTTCATGTAATGGTACAGAAAGGGTTACAACTTTTAGGAATTACAGGAAATAGGCAACTATGGACATCTGTGGGCTCTCTTTAGTTTCTCTTGCGATGTTGGTTATTAAACAAAGATACTTGATCTGACACTATTGCTACACTTTAAACTACAGAAATAAGCTCACAAAAGAATGAATACGTTATTTCTCCTTACATGCAAAACAATCGATTCCCATACACAAAGAAATTGAAAACGGGTGTTTCAATAATGCTTTAGAATAGTCCCTCTTTAACCAAAAATTATATTCCTGGTCTGGGACATTCCCCAAAACAATATTATAAAAAAAGGTATAAAAGAGAATAACAGACCTAGAGGGAAATGAATTCCTCCAACGGAAACCACCTCTATTGTGTACAATAAAATCCAAATCAACATATCAAATTTACACACACACCATCTCATGTAGGTATTCCAATCTGGATAACAAAAGTGAAATGAAAAGCCTGAATGTTTTTATATAGTAATTCTGGCATTGATCATTTTTAATATTTCCCAATATTGGAGGGTTCCCGAATGTAAAGCGAAGGGAGATCTCCCTGTACTTATTCAATGTAAGAGTTATAGTCATCTAATAAAATACTTTATAGTCACACTTTAAAGCAAACTTTAGAGACCCCCATTTCATCCATGAATCCCCGCACAAGTGATAAAAAGAATATTACATTTTACACTTACCCTTCGCCAAGCTTTTCTAAAACATCAAAGACCTCTTCTGGCTGTTTCGTCAAGCTGTCTTCACTCAGCTTTTTAAGTTTGCTAATAAAAGAAAAGAAACACACAGACATGAGGTCAATGTGTATGTGGGATAAATGTAAAAGGAAAGCAATGTATGGTGAAGAGGAGCAGTGATGGTCAACCTACAGAATACATTTCACATGTACTGACACCCACAGTATAGCCCATATGCCTAAAAGAACGTGGCCACATGACCATCACACCTATAGGAGCTTGTTGGACATCCCATTACCAAACCAGGGCCATTATTATTGAGTTGGCTCCACTTTGTGGCTTTAGCAGCTTCTCATAATATTTTGGGTCTGCGGGAAATTGTGCCCATTCATTCAAGATTATTAGAGAGGTTAGGTGTTAATGTTAGAGGAAAAGACCTAGCTTTAAGTTGGCATTATAGTTCGTCCCAAAGGTGTTCAGTAGGTTTGAAGTCAAGACTCTTGAGTTCCTCCACACCAAACTCAACAAGCCATGTATTTATGGAGCTGGTTTTCCTGACCTGGTGATGCTGCAACTGAAGAGGGCTTTTACCAATTTGTTATAAGGCTGGAAAGCACATGCATCTCAAATGTCTTTGTGTGCTGTACCGTTAACATTTTTTTTTCACTGGAAACACCTAAACTCAATCACTTAAAGATCCTGTCAGGTTATTATTTCTGTGTCCTGCTGGGGAAATTTTCCTTTCAAGTGACTAACATTTTTTTAATAATAAATAAGTTTATACTTACCAGCCCTGTGTAATAGAATTACACAGAGCAGCCCCAAATCTCCTCTTCTCAAGTTCCCCCACCGATGCTCCAGGCTCCTCTTCTCTGACGAGTGCCCCCATAGGAAGCAGCTTCCTATTGGGGGCACTCCTGTGTGCTCGCTCCAGTGTCCCGCTGATTGCATACATAGACACAGAAAGTGCGAATTAGCCCTACCCTCTGCTTCCTCGTTGCTGGATGGATGGACAGCAGTGGGAGCCAATGGCTCCTGCTGCCTCAGCAAAGCCTGCAGGACCAAGAAGTGAGGGGGGATAGCGATGCCAAAACATTTTTAACCCAATTAGGAATACGTTAGGGTACAAAATGTTTAGGCTTTATAACCACTTTAATTCCTCCATTGGCTGCAGTGCTGATCGGTGTATTCTGACAGCGAAGGAGTCCCTACTATCAGAACAATAGCACAGCAGGGATTCTTCCATCCACCTCACTTTTGTGGATGGGGGAATCGGTTTGTCATTTTTCAATCAGCCCGTAGGCTGATGCAAAAAAAAACAATCCATTTATGGCCAGCCATAGACTTGCCCAACAACAGTTTCCCTCTGGCTCAGCAGGGGATGTGAATCTGTATGTAAGCAGAAACCCCTATTGGCTGCTGAGGCACACAGAGGCATTACTAATATAAACCTATCAGATTATTGTTTTACTGACAAAGTGGTTCTAAAGCAAAAGCAAAAACCTTCTGGGTGCAGCTCCCCACCACCCTATACTCACCAGAGCCTCATCTCGATCCAGCAATGTGTATGGGAGCCTCGTCTGTCCCAGAATTCTCTCTCCTCATTGCCTCGTGCAGCAGCAGCGGGAGCCACTGGCTCCTGCTGCTGTTAATTACAGCCAGTGAGCCAATGGGGACAGAGTGGGGGTGGGGTTGAGCAAATGTCTATTTACAGGATTGCGGCTCGGGAGTGAGCCTGCTCCAGTGCCCCCATAAGATGCTTGCTATTGGAGGAACTTAGCAGGAAAAGAAGCCAGGACCAAAGGTGGGAGACCCAAAAAGATGAGGATAGGGCCTGCTATGTGCAAAACCATTGTGCAGAGCAGGTAAGTACAACATGTTTGTTTTTTGTTATTTTAATTCCAACCTTTAAAATCACTAACTAAAAAGAATTATTTCTGGTTAAGCATTACTTCATTGGGTAATTTACTCCCTGCATATTCACACGCACACACTAAAGGCGACTGTACATGTATAATTTCTGCTTATATAAGATGCAAAAAAAAAAAAAAAGCAGCAAAGAAAAATAATCACATTTTAATGGACATGTCCTTCTACTGGTTACCAGCTGCACACATCTGCTGTGCCTACTACTGTCTATGATGCAACCGAAATACACTCACTACCCTAATAAACCTTAGAATGACACCTGTCCTTTCCCAGCATGCACAGCCTCTGGCCTCCCTATTGTTTCCCTGGAATGTGGTAAACTGAGCAGACAAAGGCTGGGGACAGAATCATACATAGTAAATGATAATGAATGGATGACATGTGCCATTTTTATAGCACGACTGGCAAGCACATGATTAAAAAGAGAAGCGGATGGACTGAAATCTGTGACTCCTTGGAATATAACTATTCATTTTCAAGCTCCGGTCACTTCTAATATGTTTCAGCTGGTATATTACCGCTCCAACAACCAATTACAGGAACTAAGGCCCACTCCGGCACATATGTTTTTATTTCATTTTGGATAGAGCCATGAAGGTTAGAGCCTCTGTCAGGTTTGTATTGCCATTTACGTCTTTATTCCAGAGATTTTCCTTGACTTTCTGTGAGTTCTGCTTTTCAGAAGTCTGTCTTCTGAAGGATACTGAATTGTCTTAACTGTACACCTATGCAATGCAAAACAATTGGGGGGGGGGGGCAATTCCATAAAGCATTGGTGCCACTTTTCTGGTGGTAAGGCCTGTGCAAGATTCAAAAAAGTCCTGCCAACAGTTTTGGTAGTTTTAGCAAAACGTGCAATAGATTCAGGTAGTTCTTAACAGCACTTTTACATCATGGCGCTATGGCTTCACCAAATACAAAATGAGTTACCTTTTGTTTGTAGGTAACAAAACTGAAGGTAATTAAGACAAAGCCTAACAAAGACTAACTCTAAGTTGGCGTAAAGAGACAGGCAGAATGACCGTCTCTGTAAACTATGTAGTAAGGCGGGACCACTACCCCTTCCCCACCTGTCAAGGATGCTGTCAGTTTCACACTCAACTGGCTCCCAGCAACCAGTGATGCTGACAGTGGATGGAGCATAATGGGGAAGCTGAGGCCGACCTAAATGCTAGCACAAATGTGTACAAAGTAAATAAGGACCATATGGAGGACTGTGGATGTAGATTTTTCTATTTTTTGCTGTAAGCGGCTCCAGACTACAAATCGGAACCCTGAAGTGTGCATAAACCACAGCAGAACATTAAGCTGCGTTCAGATCAGAAAACAATGTACGGATTACGTATCTGAGGGAGGCTGCACTGTAAAGCATCATGTCTAGAGGCTGCAGTTACATGAAGACCTGTAAAAGGCTAGAGCAGTCTTGGGTCCAATGTCCATAGGCTTTTGTTTGCATCAGAATTGTTTCTCTCTCTCTATACCCGTTATATTGAAAAGCTCTGAGCAAACTGTTGGCGCTATATAAATACTGTATAATAATAATAATAATAATAATATACAAGTCAACAGAAAAGTAAATTAGCTTGAAGCAGGTTGAGACAGCTCAAGAGGTCAACTGTAGATCAAATGCACGTTAATGAAATCTGGATGGCTGCAGAAGCCAAGCAGATGTCAAACGCAAGCTACATCTGTTCATTGACACAAGCACATATTTTGCTTAGTACCCCCCCCCCCCCCTCTTTCTGGGGTAGGGTGAATGCAAAAACCCACTCTGTGTACAAATGAGGCTAACTCCTGCTGGAGATGTACCCCCCTTAAGATGCAAAAGCAGGGAACGGGGGCATATGTATTCTGCAGATATGATGCTTCACATCGTGGCCCACCATGATTTATCACCAGTACTGCCCACTAAATGCAACCTATTCAGCTGAACAGGGGTGCTTAGAAACTGCATGCTTTGCAGGTTTTTAGGTATTAACATATCATCTGCTCACTGCCTGTAAAGCACCCTCTGATGAGAAATCCACCACAGACAGAAGGCACCGCAAGTGTAACCAAGCCCTAAAAACACATTGTGTTCAGTGGGCAGTACTGCCCGCCAAGTGCTGCAGTGGCAATACATTTTGGTACGGCATATATACATCCCTGTCAGCTGTCTTTCCAGTTTAAGGTGATGCGGCTCCAGCAGAGTTGGCCTCATGTGTACACATACAGTTAGGTCCATATATATTTGGACACAGGCACAATTTTAGTTTTTTCAGGTATTTACCAAAACATATTCAAGCTATAGTTATATAATGGATATGGGCTGAAAGTGCACTCTCTTAGGTTTAATATGAGGGTATGTACATCCAAATGGGAGGAAGGGTTTAGGAAATACAGCTCTTAAGAGTAGCCGTCCCTTCTCTTTCAAGGGACCAAAAGTAATTGGACAACTGACTCAAAAGCTGTCTTATGGCCAGGTGTGGGCTACTCCTTCGTTATTTCTTCATCAAGCAGGTAAAAGGTCTGGAGTTGATTCTAAATGTGGTATTTGCATTTGGAATCTATTGCTGTGAACCTACATCATGCGTTCAAAGGAGCGGTCCATGCAAGTGAAACAGGCCATTGTAAGGCTTCAAAAATGAAACAAATCCATCAGAGAGATAGCAGCAACATTAGGAGTGGTCAAATCAACAGTTTGGTACATTCTGAGGATAGAAGAACGTACTGGTGAGCTCAGCAACATAAAAAGGCATAGGCGTCCACAGAAGACAACAGTGGTGGATGATCACAGGATCCTCTCTATGGTAAAGAAAAACCCATTCACAACATCCAGACAAGTGAAGGACACTCTCCAGGAGGTGGGTGTATCATTGTCAAAGTCTACAATCAAGAGAAGACTTCACGAGAGCAAATACAGAGGGTTCACCACAACATGCAAACCATTCATAAGCCTGAAGAATAGAAAAGCCAGATTAGAGTTTGACAAAAAACATCTAAAAAAAGCCAGACCAGTTCTGGAAAAGCATTCTTTGGGCGGATGAAACTAAGATTAATCTGTACCAGAATGACGGGAAGAAAAAAAAAAGTGTGGCGAAGGCTTGGAACAGCTCATGATCCAAAGCACACCGCGTGATCTGTAAAACATGGTGGAGGCAGTGTGATGGCATGGGCATGC